GCATGTGACCATCCAATTCCTGTTCCAGAAGATAAGAAAATCAGGATGCAGTAAACTACTCTCTCTTTTTTTTTAACTGAATTAATTAGAATAGTATTCTACATTTGGGTGATGTTTTAACATTTGCAACATGCTTTTACAGACATCACTTCAACAACCCAATGGAGACTGGCAATTGAGGAATTATTATGCCCATTTCACAGATTAAAAAACAGGAGGCCCAGTGACTCGCTTAAGGTCTTGCACAATCAAAAAGTAATGGAGTTTGGTCTTAAAGACATTAGATTCCAAGCCAAAGCCTTCCCACTACTTAGGATTAAATCCAATATACCTTCACATAATAGTAAGACAACCATCAATATTTTTTCAGCTCTTACAATGGACTAGGTACCAAGCGCTCGGCATATATCCCACATTTAATCGTTACAACAAGCCCATGAGGTTGTGCCATTATTATCCCCACTTTACAGATGAGGAAACTGAGACCTAAAGAGGTAAAGTGACTTGCCCAAATCACCTGGCTAGTTAATGGTAGAGCCAGGGTTCAAACCCAGGCAAGTAGCACTCGGGAACATAAGTTCTCAACCACTTTGCCATACTGCCACTTCAACAAAAGCAGAGGTGCCTGCTCTATACAAGATGGCTTGTAGCTGCCCAGACCCACCAGCTCAGTAAGGACTGAACTTATTTAACAACACCAACTACAAAGGACTATCCAATAATTTTTCTTGTTGTGGAATTTGGTCATACAAAGATTGCCTAAAATAAGCCTGAGCTTACTTAACATCTTATTAAACGTTCCTGACAGTTTTATTGTAACAATAATTGTAACTCAGTTTGACCTATTCTGAAAGACACTACTGCTTGCTTAGCCAACAGCAGTTCCCCAGCCCCCTACTACACACACACAGGCACATGCACACGTACACACACCTCTCCATTGCTTCCGTGATGTCAAAGCCCACCTCCCATTATAGGGAGTGAAGGGTGCAGATACCAAACGTACACGTTTCTAGACTCTTTTGCAGCTAAGTCCTGGGTATAGGATCTAATCCTGGCCAATGGGATCTGAAGGGAAGACTGATGGGGGCCTCCAGGAATGGTGTTCCCCCATGATAAAAAGAAATGCAGGAAGAAACACCACCTCTTATACGGTGGATGTGTTAGTACTTGACTGACATTCAGAACTACTACAGCCACCTTATAATCAGGACTATAAATGACAAAGGTGACGTGTTGAGGTGGCAGAGTGGAAAGATGGAAAGTACCTAGGTCCATGCAGAGCTGCTGAACAACTCTGAAGCTACCCTACCTCTGGACTTCTCATTAGGTAAGATAATAAGCGTCCTTATTATTTAAGCCACTTTAACTTGGCTACTGTCTTATTTGCAGCCTAAAGCATCCTAATTCTCAAGTCTCAGGAGGCAGCTGCAGAGAAGAAAGGGCTCTGGATTCTGAGTCAAATGACATGGCTTCCAATCTACTTACTTGCCAGGTGACTCAAGTTGCCTAATCTCTCTGAACCTCATTTTCTACACGTATAAAATTGAGATAACACTCAAGAACACAATAATATCAATAAAATGGAGATAACAGGATAGGAATGAAAATCACATGAGATGATGTGTATACAACCACTCTGTCAACAGCAATGTTTTACTCAAAGGTAATCGGTCTAGGTAATAGTTAAACTACAGACTTTTTAAACTGGAGCCATCCATTCTAACCCAACTCCCTTACTTTACAAAATAAGAAACATTGATTCCAAATGTCAAATGACTCACTCAGTGTCACACGACTGGTTGGTAACATAACTAAATCATGTATCTCCTGATTCCCAGTCCAATGCTGTCATGCTACCCTCATGCTGACAGGTAATGAGCTACATTAAATACTGGGCCGGTAGCATTCATTCGTTCAACAAGTGTTTACTGAACACAACTATACGCCAGGTTCTGCTCTAGGTACTGAGGACTCCTTGAACAACTACCACAACAAAAGTTCCTAACCTCATGAATTTAACAGCCCAGACAGAAATTATTCAATCTACATCTATAAATAATTATTAAGTGCCTACTGTGTACTAGGCACAGTGCCAGGATTTCTATTCAAATACAAGTACAAATTTCTAGGCAATTCCAATAATAGCAACCATGTTTACCAGGATTTGCTAACAAAGAAATAATGTAAAAAGTCTATATTTTACTCAATAAGAGTCAGTATTAAAAATGGCAAGCTCATTAGAAGGAGTTGTGAATACCCTGCCAGCATCTGAAAACGTGGATGGAATGGGGAAGATGTCTAGGACTCCGCTCTACTTGAAGCAGCAAGACTGAACGAAAGAGGTGAGAGCTAAGCCATGTCCTTCCACAGTCTCCAGACTTCAAGGGTTGGCTCAGTTGGAAAAGCCCAATAGGGAACATTTAGCCACTCCTTCCCCTCCCCAGGCCTCTGTCTGAAGCCCTAGACTCTCCTTTTGCTCCCTATCTGGTTGGAATTCCTCTTGCACTCTACCTAAACATTCACATGCAAATGACATAATGGGACAGCACCCTAGATCCTATGAAGAGTCACAGCAAGTGACTCTTGGCATCTCCTACTGGAACTGGCTATCAGGCTGCTGACACTGAGCCATTACATTGTTTGTTTGAAAGGGGTTTTTTTTTTTTGTCAATAACCACCCAAATTATATAGTTTGGAAAAGAATATTTAAAAGCTATTGTTTTGCAAAAAAAAAAATCCATAACTCACATTTTGTGTGGGTTATAGAGGGAAGATCTGTGTAACAATTTACACTCTCTGAACTTTGTGATTCCCTAAAATGGAGGAAAAAGGCAAGCAAGAAAGGAAAGACAGGTGGATTCCCCAGGGCATGTACTGGTGACTCCAAAAGCTTCTTTTATTAAAAAAAAAAAAAGCATTTTGTCCTCACCCTAAACAAACGGAAAGTTTTTTGTGACCTTATGCTCGGAAGTGTAACATCAATTCCCAGGTTGAAATATTCTAGGAAGGTATAAGGTCCAAAATTATCAAAATAAAATCTTTTAATTCATTTTAATTGGTTAAATGATAATCACCATTTGGGGGCAGATGTGCCTCCAAATAAAACACTTGATTTTCTTAAGCAATGCCAAAATCAACATTTTGGAACATAGCATTTTAACCTCTTTGGCATCAGTTGGGCCATACAAACTCTAACGTTCCAAATTGCTATTAGACTGGCTACAATTTATTGTTTTCCAGAACACCAGGCAATGCATACATGTCCTTTGGGGACTATTTATCTACTCTAAGGAAGACTTCCTCCCCCAAAGGGAAAAAAAAACAGTGGTATCAACTCCAAGTGGGAAAGGACAGGGCAGAGAAAGGGCTGAGAGAGCCCAGGAGAACTCAACAGCTCCACTCTCTGCCACTGGTTCCTTCATTATCTACATATTCAATATGGGTTAAAGTTCTTGTATACCCACTTTAGGACTTAAAGTAAAATGCACAAACTACTCTCTCTGAATCACAAGACACTACATGCCAAATGTTTCTGTGCAACCCTGTGGCAACAGAAAAACTGCCTATCTTGCTAATCCTTTTATTATTAAGTTTAGCAGCAATGCTTAGCCCAGAATGAAATTCAAGATCCTCCAGGAAAGTCAGTGGGAGCCTACTTTCCTGGGAGGTCATAGGGCACCACATTCCTCCCTTGAAACTTATCCAGTTGTCAGCTCACAAATTAGTTGTCACTGTCCCTATGTCGCAAACTCCCACAAGAAATGAAAAAAAGGTGGGGGGGAAGACCATTCATTCATTCATTCATTCATTCTTGGTTAACACAGCCCAGAGGCAGATTCTTGACCCTGGGAGACGCTGCTTCCATTCATCTCTCACCAGAACGGGGGTAGGGTGCCCAGTATTTTTAAAACAGCTCACTCTGTCCTGGAGCTTCAAGACTCAGCTATGTGAGAAGAGGAAATCAGAGAGATAAATAAGTAAATAGATTTAAAAGTCAGAAGCCAATAGTGCTGAACCCTGACATGACCTTTCCAGGTTGTATGTCCCAAGTGGGTCTTGCGACAGGACACATACCTGCCTACATATACATGCACTGAAAGAACACACACACACACACACACACACACCCCGCTGCAGCTCACACTAGATCTACTGCAAGCCCAAAGGCACTTACTACCCGAGGACGGGGTTGCCAGCAAAGCTGCCTTCGCCCAAACAACTGTGGCCTTCTCCAACTTGGACGAGAGCAAATGTCCACCAATATCCCAAAGGGCGCTTTTTCCCGGAACCCAGGTCCTGCAGGGTTCCCTCCCTGCCGGCCTCACAGCCCTTTTCTTTTCTCTGAAACACTCAGATTTCACACGGTTCCTTTCGAGGTAGCTCCAGTCCGCGCAGCGCGCGCCCCATCCCTTAAGGCTGGAGCCCGGGGCTGCCTGGCCTCTCTTCAATCCCGGGAAACTTCGCCGCCGCTCCACGCTGAGAAGTAAAGGCCACCGGTAGAGGGGAGGCAGGGAGAGGGAGCAGGTCCCTGGGACTGAGGGCACCTTCGGAGCCCGGGCGCCGGAGAAAGAAATGAGTGAACCCAGGCTGGTGTATGCCTTCTCCACGTGGAGGAAGGGAGGAAGGAAAAAGTGGGCGACATGCAGGTACCCCTCTCGGCTCTCAGAACTCATATATCCCGACGGGGTAGGGAACAGAGGGGTTAGAGTCCCCCAGGAGGCAGCTGCCCTGCGCCCCCAGCCTAGGCGCAGCGAGACTTGAGCGCAGCGTGTAAGCCAGAGGAAGGGGCCCCGGGAACGCAAAGCGCGCGCCTGGTGCCTGCGGGGCACAGTGCCCCCATCCCTGGGTAGGGCTCCCAGTCTCAGGGGGCGGAGGAAGAGGAATGTGGCTTTCTAGCAGGCCCCCGACTGGGTTCCTCGCCCCTGCCGGCGCACGCCCACCCGCAGAGGCCCCCCAGTCCTGCGCCCGGCGTGTAGTCCACTCCCTCGCCCCAGCACCTGGATGTGGCAGGAGATCTCCGAGTCGTCCAGCAGCCGAATGGTGCATTTCATCTCCTGGCTGAGCGATTTGATGCTGGAGCTCCGAAAGTGGATCATTTTCATGGTCCTCCTGCCTCTCGGCACACAGTGGCAGGAGGCGAACATGCACCGCGGCCCGTGTAAGCGAGCGAGAGGCTCCGGGCCGGCGCGGCGCTCGCCCGCGCGGACACACACACTCGCTCACGCACCGTCCTGGAAACCCGGGCGCGGCTCAGCCCCGGGACAGCAGCGGCGACGGGCGCCTGCGGCCACACACGCCGAGCGGCCGGGGCGCGGCAGGCGGGCCCCTCCCTCTCCTCGCTCCCCTCCCTCCGCTCCCTCGCCTCCGCCTCGCCCGCTCCTTTCCCCGCCTCCGCCCCTCGCGCGCGCTCCTGCGCCTCCCTCCGCCCGGGCTCGCTTGCAGAGGATGCCCCGAGCCCGCGACCCCCGGCTGGCGCGCGACGTACTCACTCCCACTCGCGAGGAGCCGCGGCAGGAGAAGGCGGAGAGAGGGCTAATGCTGGTGGCCGGGGCGCCCCGGCAGTGGCCTGCTCCGCCGCCGCCGCCGCCGCCTCTGCGTCAGGCTGGGCCCGGCAGCCTCCTCCCTCTCCGGCCGCGATCACTCTGGCTCCTGGTCGCGCACGTCCCTGCCCCGGCTCCCCCAGGCGCCCGACAGCGCCCTGCTCTGCTTGGCCCCAGGGACCTGGCGGCGGGCGGGGGGTGGAAGGCGATCCTGACTTACACCCGCATGGAGGATTCCCCTGCGGGAGAGGATTACTGGACCAAGAGCGAACCCCGAGAGTGACATGAGGCCCTTGCCCGGCTACAACGGCAATAAGGCTAACAGTCACAATCCCTCGTACTCATGGGGATTTTTGTAAGCCTTTATTTAATATTAACTGAGAGTCAATCTCCTTCTCTAAGAAATTCAGAACCTTCCTTAAGCAATTTCTCTTTTTTGTCTCCCAACATTTCACTTCGATCTCTGGTAGCAGGACCTTAGACCCGAGCAAGAGGGTCCTTATCCTACCCTAAGGGGGACCCTTAAGGGACTTCACTCCAGTATTAAAACTACAACTGGGATTGAATCATCTCTCCCAACCCAAAGAGCAGATCTAAGATAGCCTAGAGATCAAAGAAAAGTCACCACGCAAGACAATCCAAGCTTTTCTTTTAAGGCTACATACTTGTCTCTTCTTACTGTAGCAAGCTTTCAGCTCCAAGAGAGTCAAGCTCAATACCCCAAAATTGTTATCTCAAATTTCAGGGAAGTGGAATAAGGACACTAGGGAAAAGGACAGAACAGAGGTCACCCAAAGTGGGATTGCAAGCAACAGCATTTTGAGGAAGTGAGAAGAATCTGAGATTGGCTGTCTGGTCTGGTTTGGAAGGCTGAGATTCAACAAGTATAATGTGGGCTTGGGAAGCCCTTGGAATACATGAAAAACAGCTGGGGAAATTACCACATACAGTCACCTGGAGTGAAGTACCCATTGAAGACAAGGCTTTGGGAAACCGAGTGGCCATAGTCACGAAATAAAATGAAGAGCAAGAGGAATTCAAAGAATGAACTCAAGAGGTGAGCTTAAAACTGGGCCACTTAAAGAAAAGCAATGACACACTGAGTCCTAAATTCTCAGCTCACAACTTTTTTAAAAAGCTGTATTCTTTCTATGACAGAGCTAAAAGAATTTTTTATTAATTGAACCACAAGGCTAAAAAGCAAACTCAAAATTTTTTCTACAAGTTGCCAAATTACAAAGTCAATTGAATTATCAGCCTCACCGGATTTCATGTGTGAGAGATAATTATCATCAGGAAAGACTGGGAATCTGGGAATAGAAATGGGGCCATAAAGGAGGATTTGGTTAATTCCTAGTGACTCAAGCCCCCAAGTCCCTCTTGACAGCAGAAGCAAAGCCTCTTCCCTTATCTAAAAAGGCTGTTCCTGCATTGTTTGAAGACCCTATTCCGACCTCACCTGAGGCAGTTACCCTGGAAAGGGAAGACAATCTCCTTGCCACCTCTTGCCCACCACCTCTGACTACTCTCACTCTTAATACTTGAATCAGATCCAGGCACCCATGGAAAGCCAGTTACAAAGTCAACCCCAGGAAGAGAAAGAATTACAAGGTTTTGCTAATTTAACTTGAAAAGTATGTGTGTAAATAAACCTAAAGTTGTTGATTTGAGTGCACTTTTCAGTGACTCTGGTTTCAATGTACCATCTAAATAAATTGACTGACTTTTGGACTGAGCTAAATGAAAATGAGAATGAAGAAATCCCCCAATATTTGTATAGGAAAAACATCCAAAGAATCAAGGAGAAGGAAATACTGAAGTGGATGCTCATATGTAGCCAGTTCACTTCTCTAGTAATCATGGGTCCTGAGGGGGGCCTCCACCACAACTTTGGGAGAATCATTGCTGAAGGAAGCATGGCCATCATTGAAAAGTACCACAGTGTTTGTTCTCTGTGACCAGGGGTGCTTTGAAAATCTCTGCAGTTAAAAGGAGCTCCCTGATTTAAATGGAGATGATCGGAGCCTGGATTAGCAGAGGACAAATAGTGGTACTTAAATTTCGGTGCCCAGGAGGGCACGGAGACAGTCATGAGCAGTGGGACCCAAATGACTTCAGAGTGATGTGACCCACAGGAATTTGCTGATCACTAGACATCCAACTAAGGTCCTATTTGATCTGTAGAACAGACAAATTTTCTAGGTCTGATAAACAAAAGCCTGACTAAAACTCCCCTCCAAAAATTTCCAAATCTGAACCTGTCCCTACAGACAACCAGAGGCATTTGAGTAAATGAAAAATGGGTCCACCTGAGGAGTGAGAACATTGGCCACAGCAGAGAAGAACTGGCAAGGTCCAGTTCCTAATAAAGAAGTAGCAGTGGGAGAGATGTCTCATGCTCAGCGGCAGAAGCTGCTGCTCCTTACCGAAAAATTCCCAACCCATGGGTCATAGCACTTTGATGAGCCACAAATGGAAAACAGGTGGCCTGGCCCCAAAAGCTTAATGGTTGTAAATATTGTGCATTGGGTCTTAAAAAAGATTTTTAAGCATTTTTACAGCCATTAAAATTGATTATTGAAAAAGAAATACTTAGGTATAAATCTAACAAAATATATACACATTCTATATAAAAACTTTGATGAAAGAAATCAAAGAATTAAATAAATGGAGAGATATTCCATGTCTGTGAGTAGAAAGACTCAACATTGTTAAGATGTCAGTTCTTCTCAACCTGATCTATGCAATGCGATTCAAATCAAATCCCAGAAAGTTATTTTGTAGATACTGACAAATTTATGCTAAAGTTTATTTGGCAAGGCACAAAACCCAAAATAGCCAACACAATACTGAAGATAAACAAAGATGGAGACTGACACCACCTGACTTTAAAACAGTATAAAGCTACAGTGATCAGAACGGTGTGGTACTGGTAAAAGAACAGACAAATAAATTAATAGAACAGAATAGAGAGCCCAGAAATAGACATACGCAAATAGAGTAAACTGATCTCTGCCAAAAAAGCAAAGTCAATCCAATGGAAAAATAATAGTTGTTTTTGTTGTTTTGTTTTTTTTTTTTACTATCCTTTTCATGTGCTGGAACAACCTGATATCCATATGCAAAAAAATAATCTAGATACTACTCATAAAAATTAACTCAAAATGGGTGATACAGCTAAATGTAAAATGTAAAACTATAAAACTTCTAGAAGATAATGTAGGAGAAAATCCAGCTAACTTTGAGTTCGGTGATGACTTTTAGTTACAACACCAAAAGCATGATAAGTTGGACTTGATTAAAATTAAAAACTTCTGCTCTGCAAAAGACACTTAAGAGAATAAGATAAACTACAAACTGAAAGAAAATATTTGCAGAACACATATCAGACAAAGGACTTGTATCCAAAATGTACAACTCTTAAAGCTCAAAATAACAAATAATCCAATTTTAAAATAGGCATAAGATCTTAACAGACACTTCACTAAAGAAGATATACAGAAGGTAAATAGACATATGAAAAGATTCTCAACATCATACTTCATTAGATAATTGCAGCATTAACTATATTGAGATACTACTTCATACCTATTAGATAGCTAAAATCCAAAACATCAAATGCTGACAAGGATACAGAGCAGCAGGAACTCCCATTCATTGCTGGTGGGAATGTAAAATGGTACAGCCACTTTGGAATACAATTTGGTAGTTTCTTGCAAAGCTAAACATAGGCTTACCATACAATCCAGCAATTGTGCTCCTAGGTATCAACCCAAATGAGACAAAAACTATGTCCACAAAAAAACCTGCACACAAATGTTTATAGAAGCTTTATTGATAATTGCCAAAAATTGGAAACGTCCAAGATGTCCTTCAATAGGTGAATGGATAAGCTGTAGTACATTCATACAATGGAATACTATTTAGCAATAAAAACAAATTTTTAAAAATGAGCTATCAAGCCACAGAAAGACAAGGAGGAACCTCAAATACATATTGCTAAGTGAAAGAAGCCAGTCTGAAAAGGCTACATACTGCATGATTCCAACTATGTGACATTCTGGGAAAGGCCAAGATGATAATAATAGGGGAAAGCAGGGGCGGGAAGTGGGGAGGTAGGATATACAGAAACTCTTTGTACTTTCTGCACAATTTTTCTGTAAACGTGAAAGGGCTCTTAAAAAATTAAGGGTATTTAGGGACTTTACTGGCAGTCCAGTGGTTAAGACTTCGCCTTCCAATGCAGGGGGTGTGGGTTCGATCCCTGGTCGGGGAGCTAAGATCCCACATGCCTTGCGGCCAATAAAACCAAAACATTTTTTAAAAAAAACAGAAGTAATATTGTAACAAATTCAATAAAGACTTTAAAAATGGTCCACTTCCAAAACAATCTTAAAAAAAAGAAATTAAGTGTAGTTAAAAACAGATCAGGGCTTCCCTGGTGGCGCAGTGGTTGACAGTCCTCCTGCCGATGCAGGGGACACGGGTTCGTGCCCCGGTCCGGGAAGATCCCACATGCCGCGGAGCGGCTGGGCCCGTGAGCCATGGCCGCTGAGCCTGCGCATCCGGAGCCTGTGTTCCGCAACGGGAGAGGCCACAACAGTGAGAGGCCCGCAAACCGCAAAAAAAAAAAAAAAAAGAAAAAAAGATCAATCTCCACCATGTGAGGACACGGGGAGAAGGCAGCCACCTGCAAGCCAGGAAGAGAGCTCTCATCGGGAACCCAATTGGCCACCACCTAATCTTGAACTTCCGAGCCTCCAGAACTGTGAGAAAATTAATCTCTATTGTTTAAGCCAACAACAACA